TGTTAATGTTACTTTTTTGCTGCCAGCATTTATTTATTCTTGGGAGGTGCTGAACAAGGTTTTTTGGATAAAACTAGCGAGCAGTTCTGAGAGTTCAAAAGTCTTCAAATCAACTAAAAGCATACTTTTTGTTTTCTATTTAATTTCGGGAAAGTTTGCTGTAAAGCAAATCACTTTTTACTCTTCTTCACTTTCTTGCAATGATCAAAGAAACGTTTAACTTTGTTTCTTGATAAATTATTAGTGTTAGTGATATTTGGTAGTTTAAAGGTATTATCTACAATCGATTGGTCAGTTAATGGCATTACTGAATTATTCAATTATTTACAGTAATACATTTGAAGAACAAAGATTAAATGTACATTAACTGAATGTGAACAAAATTCACTTATGTACCATCCATCACTCCAGTGACTAGTTCAATGGTGATTGCCATTCTGTTGTTGTTTTTTTTTATAATGATTAGTACATGAAGTCGAAATAAAATTTTAGATGAAAAGATAAGTAATATTGAATGAGAGCAGTAGATTTCTGTGCAAGTTTTTGATGTGAGATGAGTAGGAGCAATATATCAGCTTAAAGTTTTAAAAAGTTTCAAGAGTAATTTGTTTGTTTGAATGTGTTTGTATAGGAGAGGATTTACGCTGTAACTCGTTCAATTGCTAGCAAGACTATGGGTAATGATGGGTGAGGAGAGAGTAGTGAGAGTGGCGGTAAATGGTTATTATTGACGATATTGAGAACTCTGCCTTATCTTTTCCATTGCTAACTAATAATAGAGAGTTTTGCGATTAGATCGTCCGTTACTTGCTTTCTGCTTGTTTTATGAGAAATTGGATGTGAGAAGAGCACATTATTCTTCTATTTAATGCTTACTTACTACTTCATGCCATGAATTGCTTTCAAACCGGCATACTTATATAGATAGGCCTTAATCTCAATTACCTCTGCTCCACACCCTCTATTATTAGTTTTATCGAAAATTACGGATCAGTCAGTGTTCACTCATGGCACATTTGAGAGGGATGAGGAGCACTGCTTAGAATCAGCGTAGGAAATGCAAATGCTGCCTCTGATGACAAATAACAGTTACATGTTACTCCTCTTTTGCACACTAAGAAAATCAAGCTGCAAAAGAAACTGCTTATTCTCTCTGCTGATAAGCAACAGCCACACCTCACCTTTGATAATAGTAGTAAATAATAATGGTAATAGTAATAATAAATAAATAAACAATAATCATAAGTAATACCAAAGTAGTAAACAATAATAAGAACTACTGTTATAGTGGCAACCTTCAGAAATTAACTGGTCATGAAGCATGCATGTATCTGATTTATTTGAAGTGAGGTTGAGTAGAGGCAACATTGACTTACTTTTGTATGCTTCTTTAATTCACGCTTATGTTAAGTACT